TGTAAAACTTTGGACCGGGAAGCTGCTTAAAATCGGGTTTGACGTATGTTTTGTCATCGATCAAAGTGCAGCCCTTGTGTTTAGTCAAAACACGGTCGTACAAGAGCCTTGCACGCTTTTTGGCCACGGAATTCAGCTTCATGTGCCGGTTTGGATGTTTACTGGCTTTGAACGACTTGTATCGTTCACTGGCAAGGATGTTACGCACCGTTTGAAAGTTGGCGTTGTACCTTCTGGCCACATCTTGGATCGAAAGACGATCCGTGGTCCCAGTGTTTTCGTAGATCCACTGATTTCTTTCCAAACTCAGGGTTTCCTTGTAGGTTTTGAGCACTCGACAAACTGTTGTTTTCGGCATATTCAGCACTTTAGCCAGGTCCGGATTTTTCCAGGTGTTTGTTCACATTATTTTTTCTTCTTTCGAGTTCCATTTGACGTTATTTCTGAACGCAATCGACTACTTTGATCAAACTTGCACCAGTTGTTCTCTATAGTTTTCGATTCCCAACACTAAAGGCGTGCTAGCGGCGTGCGAGGGGCGTGCCAATTTACTTTTAGTCAGTCTTTACTCATACCACCGGAGTGTAGACTATGCGGACGACCTGAAGATCTTTATTATCGTCAAATCCATTGAGGATTGCCTGGAACTAGAGACGTTAATTAAGCTGTTTGAGAGCTGGTGCTCTGTGAATCAACTGACAATCAGCGTACAAAAGTGTAGTGTCATCTTCTTCGCACGAAAGAAATCTCCAATCCACTGGATTTATGAGATTTGCGGTTCCACGATCGAGAGAGTATGCTTGGTGAAGGATCTTGGAGTTCTGCTAGACTCGCAGCTTTCATTCAGAGATCATTACTCGAACATGATTGCCAAAGGTAATAGGAATTTGAGCTTTGTAAAAAGAGCTGCCAACGGGTTTTCGATCTCTGTATTACGATCTAGTTCGTTCGGTTCTGGAAGCTGCTTCAATCGTATCGAGCTTGTATGCACGCACCTGGATCAACAGGATTGAAGCAATCCGATCCCGGTTTATTAAATTTGCGCTGAGATATCTTCCTTGGCGAAACCCTACCTGCTTGACGCCGTATAAAGATTGCTGTAGGTTGCTCGGAATGAAAACGCTTCAACAACGACGAGACTCCGCCAGAGCTTTGTTTGTTGCCAAGCTGCTACTTCGAGACGCGGATTCATCCCAAATTCTTGGACAGGTCAAAGGTGCCAAAAATGACCTAAGATCGAGAGAATTTTTAAAACTTTGTTTTAGGAGAACGAACTACGGGCATAATGAGCCGGTTCAAGCTATGTGTCGGGAATTCAACTTTATGAATCATATGTTCGATTTTTCCCATTCTGCTAGTGTTTTTAAAAGTTGTTTGAAAGTCTTCAACTTGTCTGCGTAAGATGTATTTTGTTTGTTGACTGTTTAGGATTAGTTAAGTTTATTCATGTAGACTTCTTGTTAGATGGATTAAAACATAATTCAATATAATAAACGTCTTGATCTCATTTCGAGCAGAAGCGCCGTTTCCATGCTACATTTTTTTGAAAAATTTCAAATGCGTCATTTTGAAAATTTAGCAAGATCCAAAATGGTCAAATTTTGCAAAAATGTCAATCATTGCCCCTAAGCCACAAACCTAAATTCCAATTTAAAAATAAATGTTTTCCAAATAACAATCAGGTAAAGCAAAACCGTGCTGGAGGCAGTTGGGTTCGAGTTCGGGTTGGTAAATTTATCGACTTCCCTGGGCATAGAGTATGATTGTACTAGCCACACAATCTGTACTATAGGGTGTCCCAGAAAGTATAAGCAAAAATCAAATCGTCAAAATGAGAGGCGTTTCCCTGGAAAAACGCAAACAGATCGTGCACAAATGGTGCACTATTTCCAACCTATCAGTAAGTAAGTTGGCGAAAATGGAGGAAGAAAGTAAGGTGGACCGAAAATCACACCAGAAGATCACCGAGCTTTCGTCAAAATGAAAAGTGCCTCTGTTCGAAAAAAAACTGAGAGCGTCCAACGTGTCAAGGCAAGAAACGGACTGAAAACGTTCAAGAAGCAGAAGAAGCCAAAACGGAGTCAGAAACAAGCCGCATCCATCAAACCGAGGGCTCGGAAGCTACACACTACGAAAAAGTCATGTATATTTACATGCCCTGAGACCGACACATGCAAGCGGCCCAAATGACATAAGAATCAGTTGAAAGAAACGACATAATCAATTCAAGCGTACTTTTCGTCGAGTTACGTATCCCAAGTAACAATTTAGGTTTTAGGAGGGTTCTGTAGACCATAATTTAGACTTGTAGAGTGCTTTAAAACCGCAATAAAACTTGCAATGTTACTTGGGATGTTTCGGTTTGGGAACACTTAATTTTACATGACATGTTTGTTCACGTTCCATAATTTACGTCAAAGATAGATTACATCTCGTGTAAAAATAGTTATTTTTAAGTGTGTATATGATAGCCTGCTGTTTGGACAATTTGCGTGTGTTATCATGGACGATCAAACATACGTCAAATCTGACTACAAGATGCTTCCAGGGCCATCCGTGACACAATCCGTGATGGTCAAGAAGTAGACGATGCCGATAAGTAAATATTTACCGAAAAATTTGGTAAGAAGGCTATGGTTTGGCAAGCGATATGTGAGTGTGGAAAGTCAATTGTGACGAAGGAGACGATAAACACTGAAATTTTTGTTCGGGAGTGTTTGAATCGGCGTCTGCGGCACATAATCCGTCAACATGATATCCCATTCCTTTTTTGGTCCGATTTGATTTCAATGCACTACTCGAAAGACACGGTAGCTTGGTACAAAGCAAACAATGTACAATACGTGTCAAAAGAGATGAATCCTCCCAATTATCCGGAGGCACGGTCAATCGAAACTTTTTGGGCACTTTCCAAGGGATACCTAAGGAAACACTTTAAGACAGTGAATTCAATCGAAGAATTTGAAAAAGACTGGTAAAAAGTTGCCAAAATGATCGCCAAAGAATCTGTGCTGAAGCTCATGGATAGTGTCAGATCAAAAGTTCAAAAGAGAACACTATAGAGAACATATATAAGAAATCAAAATTTTAGTTAATTATCATAACATTGTTTATTTTCAATAATAAACTGCGTTTATACTTTCTGGGACACCCTATAATGCAAAAATGGTATAGGTTTAGAATGCTCTCAATTAATAACTGTGGAAATACTCAAAGAACGCTTGGATGAGAGCTGGCTTTAAGTCCCAGTAGGAACGTCATAAAGCCAAAATAGAGGATATTCAAATTCTAGCAAAGCTTTTCTATTCTTGTGAGTACTTGAGATTTAAGCGATAGTAACGCGATGTATCACAGGAAGGTGTGCCATAGCAGTAAGCATTCACGTTGTTAACTTTCATTCTCCTAAATTGTAAAACATTCCAAGTAGCTTCCCCTGGGTAATCCTTTTGTGTGCATATGAGTGAAAGCAACGAATTTTTGGGAAAGTTTACTAGCGCACATATACGATAGCTACTATAGAGTTCACAGATGGTAAAAAAGCATGGAATGTCTTTATTGCCTCACCGGCATCTATTGTAATAGTACCCTCAAGGATGGATCAAAGGAAGGTGAAAAATATGGTATTTGTATGGAGAAAAGTGACCTTCGCATTCTGCTCTATAGGAACCTATTGATAGTAAAATCAAACGACTGAAATCAATTGACGATCGTAAAAGCAAGCTATTTCTGAGTGAATGGTGATACGTAAATTCAATAAGCACTTACACTTTACGTAAAGGCTCATTTGGAATTATGATACTTGCAATAATAACCGTATCCAAGTTACTTTAGATTAAAATGTTACGTGACTAATAGAATCCATCTGCCAAATCATGTGGTGATTTCAATCACGACCCCAAACTCAACAGAAAGTGCGGAACTTTTTCAGGACAAATAGATTGATTATTTGCTAAATATTGAAATACCATGGGCAGGGCACGTATTCCATTAGAAAAATTGGAAACACAGGAAATCAAAAATAAATTGAATACCTCCAATCATTTTTTACCCAGCACAGTTGACAGACTAACATCACAACAGGAAATGAAAAGAAAAACAATACAAAGCATGCCGCATTGTATGCATCTCCTATGATGAGTACTACAAACGTAACCATTGCTCCACACACCAGGACTCACAAAGAATGTCGAAATGAGCTCAAATTCCTAACGCATCTCATAAATCCTGTATTCACAATTCCTGTCACGAAGACCATCAACGTGCTGGTTGAGGAAGGGGTTCGATTACATACGAGAACCTCCTTGCAAGCTACCTTCAGAATGTGTCACATTTGTGTTCCGTGCCTAATAACAGACACGCACACATCCTTCATCATTGCGTTGCCGAACTGGTTTGAGAATAAGAGGTGCTAGGGTTTTCGACCGTATTTCCGTCCTACTAAGCACAACCCGCGCTTTGCCTCGAATATTTAAAAAATATTATGGTTCTACTAGATTCTACTATAGATGACACACCTAGTCTCACATTATTAAGATACTGTGTCTTGATTCCAAATTCGTCCTACGAGTTTCAATTCCGTGCAAACGCATAGAATCGCCATCGGATTTTCTCCATCCTACGTATGAAGGCAGAAAAATCGGATTCGCTCAGAGCGCTTCTTTCCGGTGAATTCCTTAATATTATTGATGTTTTCTGCTCAATTGAACGGAAATGGGCGAACACGACGAAGTAGCGCTCTACCATACTACCAACCGTGTTGCTGCACGGTTTCAATCGCAATTCTTGTATTCCCTTGTATGCTATATTGCCACCCCAGTTACATACGAGTGCAAGGGAAATTTAAGGAAAATCACGTTCCACTTCGCCGAACGTTAACAGGATGCATGCAAAGATTCGAAGAATTGATTACATAGAAATTGGATCCCAAAATAGCAGCATTCCATAATGAATCAATCAAATTTCATAACCAATTATTTTCTCTGTCTCTCTCTCCCGCCCAGGCTCTACTGCTACGCCCAGAAGCACGTCAAGTCGATACGAGCGGTGACACGGCCGGGTGAGATCAGCGAGAAACGCTACCGCAGCATACGGAGGCCCAAAGCGAGCAAGAGCAAGCTGAAACTTCGACAGCTGGCGCAGCAGGCGTCCTCCCCGTACCACGTGTCGGACCACAAGGCGGCCATTACCGTGGGCGTCATCATGGGCGTCTTTCTCGTCTGCTGGGTGCCGTTCTTCTGTGTAAATATTATTGCCGCGTTCTGCAAGACCTGCATCGGGCCGCAGACGTTCAAGGTGCTCTCCTGGCTGGGTTACTCCAACTCGGCCTTCAATCCGATCATCTACTCCATCTTCAACACGGAGTTCCGCGAGGCATTCAAGCGAATCCTGACGACGCGGAGCTCCTGGTGCTGCGGGCAGGAGATGGGTAACATCTACCCGCGGCACAGCGACCGGTACGTGACGGACTACGCGGCCAAGAATGTCGTCATGAACTCTGGTCGATCGTCGGCCGACCTCGAACAGGTATCCGCCATCTGACCTTACTAGAACAACATCAACAACACCGAGGTTTAGGATTGAGGGGCTGTACTCTTAGCGAGTCGGCTCGTGCCAGCTGCTCACCGCACACACTCACAAAATGCACTTTTTTTTTGTAGAGGGTTACTTTTGTATAACTATGTTGGGTCACGTTTGAGGGATTCTCCCTTAAGTTCGTGGGTTATCTGCGAGGGAAGTAATGGTTGATGATACATGATTGCACTGCTAGTAGTACTAACAAGTTGATATGGATGATTTGCCGAAATGTGTGACTCACTCAATGTTTATTTAAAACTCGATTTGCAATACCTTAGGAGTAGGTTAGAAACCACTAACAATTTTGTCGGCACTTATCATGGAAATAATCATTGAACTCAACAAAATATTCGATAAGTACCAACAATCGCATCGAATGGCTCAGCTAACACTATTTATATGTTTCACGATTTTCTGGAATATTTGAAATATCTTTCACAATTCATTTGAAATCACACATCGCTGGCCACCCTGATTAAGGTTTCTTGAGCATCATTATTATTTGCTGATTTTTTCTTTAGATCATTAATCTTATTTACAATTAAGAAAATATCTCTAAAAATTTACCAGACTTCCCTTAAGTTCACTAAACATCTCAGAAAATCAATCGGACATCCTGAGCCTGTCTGAAGCCTTGTGAAACTTTTTTAATTCAGCACATCTTCCCTGGAGTGTACTAAACTTCAATCATGCTCTATGAACTTCTCTGAGGTTCTCAGAGAAATTCTGAGATAATCAGGGAGCTAATCAAAAGACGAAGCAGCAAAGCCTAATACAGAACTTCTGAAAGGTATGACGAACTACAGATAGGCTCAGTGATCTTCGAAGATCATAAAAGTGCTTAAGTCAAGATCGACTAACTTCAGAGATGTTCGGATAGGTTCAGAGAGCTTCGGAAACGAGCTTCAAACGAGTACATACATCTTAAATGATGTTAAGAGAACTGATAAGGTCTTGGAAGCTCTGAGAGGTTGTAGGGATTTCAGAGTTTCTAAGGGTTCCAAATACGTTTATTGAACTACAGCAATGGTTTGAAAACTTTAGGAACCTTCGGCGAATTCCATCAAACATTGTGACATTATAAACTCAGAGCATTCTATGAATGATTTCATTTATGGAAAACTTCATTAAATGTTTCCTTGAAGTGATCGAAGTTCCTTCTGAGCGCCCATCCTTAGGAATATCTCGTTTGGCAAAATCATGTTTTCTCAGCAAATTGCTATGCCAAGTGTAGTGCAAATTGCTATGCCAAATGTAGATGTAGTGATGTAGAAGTGTGCATAAAAGCAGCACTGAATTAGGATATTATGAGGTGCCTGCCATCGGAATTCGATATAATATTTAAGGAAATTTCAAGGAGATATTCAGAGAAAATTTATTTTGAAATGAATTTCGGAAAGTTCTGAAGAAATCCAGAGAAGAGTTGCAAGTAGTGTATCCAATTCCCCGGGCTACCCGGAATTGGGAAACAGCTGATGATTCTTGCTGAAATTTCCCAGGAACCGCATACATTTAGTTTGTGGACAGAAACAAAGTAAGAAGTGTTTCAAATCATCAGAAAACAATGTCTTTTTTTAAACTTTTGGACAGTAACCTTAGTAAAAAGTGGTTCAAATCATATGGAGAACTTATTTTTATAAAAAAATTATTTTTTAAACAATAACCAAAGTAAGAAATGTGGAAAATCACTAGAAAAATGTGTATTTTTAAAGCTTTTGGACAGTAACCAAAGTATTATGCCGGTTGCTTGCTGTGCTCTTTTGGACGGTTTTAACTTTTACGGGTTCACACAAGCGAATACTTCTCCGAACCGAAATGGACGTTTGCAAGATCTTGTCCTGGCAAATGATTCCGCATTACCGGAAAATTCTGTTTCCTTGCCGGTCGAGCCACTGATTGATCTAGATGCCAATCATCCCGCTCCCGCCGCTCCCGATTATGTTGCATTAAACAATGCGCTTGCGGAAATTGATTGGCAATTTATCGAAACAGCCGGTAGCGTGAATGATGCTGTGAATTTTTCAGTGCTGCACTGGAAGATGCTACTCGTGCTAAAACGTCTACGTACTGCCGTCCTCCGAAAGTATTATGACTAAAAGTTAATTGGTACGCCCCTCTCGAGCCGCTAGCACGCCTCTAGTGTTGGGAAGCGAACATCTTTGACAGTGGTTTGTTTACACTTCTATAGAGAACAACTGGTGCAAGTTTGATCAAAGTAGTCGATCGCGTTCAGAGATAACGTCAAGTGGAAATCGAAAGAAGACAAAATATTGTGTACAAACACCTGGAAAATCCGGGGTGGTCTGGTTCCAATCAGGCTAAAGTGTTGAAGATTCCGAAAACAACAGTTTTTAGAGAGCTCAAAACCTACAAGGAAACCCTGAGTGTGGAAAGAAATCAGCGGCCTTACGCAAAACTGGAACCACTGGAACTGCAGTTCACGGTGCAGGTGTTAAATCCAACCCCGGTCTTTCGATCTGAGATGCGACCAGAAGGTACAACGCCAACTTTCAAACGGTGCGTAATATTCTTTTAAGGGAAGGATACAAGTCGTACAAAGCCAGTAAACATCGGAAACGGGACATGAAGCAGAATTCCGTGGCCAAAAAGCGTGCAAGGCTTTTGTACGACCGTGTTTTGACGAAACACAAGGGCTGCACTTCGATGACGAAACTAACGCCAAACTCGATTTTAAGCATGTTCTATGTCAAAAGTTTTACATCACGACTGGACCTGGGGATGTCCCGGGAAGATTCAAGTTCGTGTTTGCCGACAAATTCGCGAAGAAGGCCATGATTTGACAAGCGATTTGCAGTTGTGGCCTGATAACGGAACCACTCGTCACATCCTCGACGATGACATCCCAAGTTTACATCGAAGAATGCCTGAAAAAACTTGTATTGCCGTTCAAGCATATGGGCAAAGCCATCTTTTGGCTCGATTCGGCCAGTTGACACTACTCCAAGGTGATTCTGGAGCACGGCTGGCAAATTTCATTTTCAATGAAAGATCTCACGCGATATTTACAGAGATACTTCTGTCACTATCATTGGATGAGAAAGCGATGATAGAGATTTTCTTCAAAATCTCATCGAATTTTTTGTCATGACAGAACGTGACAGTGCTGTGATCATCGTGATTACTAGCTCATTTAATGCCATTAAAGTTACATGTACCGAGGAAATCTTAATAATGTATTCGCTCTACCGATTACATACGGTTGTTTGCTTAAATTCATCTGAATCAGTTAGAAATGATGATGTCAAAACCACATAAGAATTATTCTCATAAGAGCTTGATCATTGAAAAATGACAAGAAAGCTAATGATAGGTAGTTTCGTCTCGTGATAGTGAGAGGACCTGTTTTCTCATCGTCACATGACGGTCGTGATATTTACCTGCTCTGTTCTGGAGTAGTATGCTGCCAACAAGATCGATTTTTTCCCCAAGCTAATGAATCCTCCGAATTGCCCGGAATTTCAAACAATCGAAAACACTGGCCAGCAACTTCGACGAAGCGGCAGGGCAGTCAAGAACATCCAGCAAATGCGGGCAAAATGGAAGAAATGCGCTGATTCCGTGTCCGTTTCCACTGAGCGGGCGCTGATGGGTTCCATCAAGCGGAATGTTCGAGATTTAGTTTGAAAAGGAGAAATGTAACCATCAAATGCTGTAGCTTTGAAGTTTCAATAAAAGTACTAGGCTCAAGAAATTTGCACATAAAGGATCTCGGCGTTACCTTTGGATTGCAAATTCACTTTTTGGGCTTTATTTTCAAAATTGCCGACGAGCTCCGTGACTCGCTATGCCTCAGGTCACTTTACTTCTCGCTTGTACGATCCTTATTGGAGTCAAGTTTATTTGTTTGGTGCCCTTTCCATGCTAGCTGGATCACTAGAAGGATCGCTTGTCTCCTGCGAATCGAACCATTAGAGGTGAGACGGAAGGTCGCTCAAGCTATGTTCAACTATGTTCGCACAACACTAGCCAATTCAAGCAATCAGTCGGCAAATCAATAACTTCTTTTATATGATCGACTTCAATGTATCAGCTGAGGTGTTTCGTCATCGGTTACTTGGCCTTTTCCATACCGTTGACCGTAACTATTTAGTTTAAGTTTTATTTATTTAGACAAAAATTCTTCATCATTAGAATAATGTGTGTTTTTAAACTAAAAACTACAAGGGACAGCCAGGAGCTTGTGTTTTGTGTAAGAATAGGAGTTTGAGCGGGGTTCTCTCGCGCTTGACATAGATGGCCCATAGCGACTCATGAAGAGCTACTGATTCCAATCAATAGCGGTGCGGCTTCTTCCTCGTTCTATGGATGCTCATGTGGGCTGCAGCTTGCTGCTTGCAGACAGCCTTTCGTTGTGTACTGGAGAACAATGTTCAACGCCACACGCCGAAAACACTGCTGCTGATGATGATGATGTCGACGACCGGACACCACCACACACGGTGATTGGAACTGAATCCGATCAGCGGTTGAGGCCAGCCTTGATAGCTAGCTGCTTGCGGGGAGCCTTTCGGAGAATTACGGAGAACACCACCACCACGTTTGGTGAGACCGGATGGAATTCAACTTTGAAATCTGTGCTAGAGAAATCGCATTTCACAGGCAATCGGTGATAATTTTAATTATCATAGCAACAGTTGCACATACGTGCAATTTTCAATAGTGACATTTTAAAAATGATAAAGTCTTAAATTGTACAGATGCGTGGGAATATTTCTGATCGAAGCTGAGTTATTAACGTTCAAAATCTTTCATAATTTTGTTACATTTTCCATTATCGGTTTTCACAAAGTGTAGCGAGTTATCTCTGATTTTGGTGTGATTGTTTTGATCAAAATGAGCGCAAAATTTCATCTCTACCGAGGGGGCAGCAAAACCACAAAATTACCTTGAATACGGGGATATTCATTGGATGAAAGAGACCGTGAAAG